AAAAATCACAATTAGCCGTTCTATCTGTATCCAAGATATTAGAGTAATACTAATCAATTCTCTAAATTAGTTCTGTCGATATTCAGTAACGCAAAGATAATTTTCACTTAAGTGGCAATAACCGAAATGTTAAGTTGCTTAACTACATCAAAAAACGGTCAAAATTTTTCCCAGAGTAGAGTTACGAACAATCCAAATAATTCGATTACTAATGGTGGGCCCCAAAATGGGTTATAACTGTCTTTTTTTTCCCAGAGTAGAGTGTAGGAAGAGGTTCAGGTTCAAACCCTGGCTGAGGTAACATTTTTCGCAATAAATTTTCTGTATTATTAAAACTGCTAGGTGTGTGGTCAAGAAAACACTGGCGTTGTTAATTACCGCTGGCGACATTGAAGAATTCTTATTAGTTAAATTATTTTGTCGTATTTTAGATGGTGTCATCCGCGGCATCCTTTTTCACCATGATACGCAGCATGAATTGACAGTGTTATCGATGTAAGACGTACATTTTTGTGCATCGAGTAGAACCTGTGCGATTGTTGACGTTTATGATTGTTGTATCATTAGCGTTAATATGCGGATCGAACGGGTATAAATAAAGTCAATGTATATAATGTATGAAAGTTAACACCCTACGATAAAATCGAACAACCAACGAGGACCCTATGTAGGTCCAGAAGCAAGATGTAGGTAGCCCAATAGTTCTTATTATATGAATTCATATACCGTTTTTCCATCCGTCTTGTGCGCCGGGTTTTTTTCGGACATAACACAGTCTCGTTAGATGGAATATTGTCGTCAGCAAACTCACGTATTAATCGATGAACAATATATAATATATATATACTATATACTGTATACGTATATGATGTATATGTTAATAAATCTTAATATATAATCTTCATCGCGTATATCTTCATCAAGTGTTTGTGGCAGTGATTATTTACAGTGGACTGAGCCAGGAGGAAAAGAATACATCACGATCTGATTAACTCTTGCTACGCTAAGTTAACATTTAGTTGAAAAGGACCTAAACCAAAGGTCGAAACGTCGCACGAATAATTTATATTAAACTTGGCCAGTTAGGGTCGACACAAACTTCTCCATTGTTAACATTTACTAATTACCGTGCCTAATTATCGCGCAATTAGATAAAGACACGATAAAAGCGGATGGAAAGCTCGTTAGACACGACGGGCTTTCTCACGGATTAACTTTGAACTTTATACGATCTGTTCTGTCCGTGGCGTTGACAATGTCAGAAGATTTAGCTGCGGAGACACTCCGCAGCTCTGCTGCGATTGCTTAAAGTAACGAGGCAGGCGTTAACCTTCGCAGAAACTAATCCGAGGAAAATGTCGGCGAGAGAAAGGCTTTCGATGTAACTCTTGGCTTAAGCCGGGCATCGATCATTTTCTTTTCCCGTTGCCGAGCTGCCGCCTCGGCTCGCACGTGTCGAGAGTTACCGTGCCGCATCACGAGAAATACGGTTAACAGAGCGCTGTCCATCTCCCGCGAGAGGATCGAGGAAAGCCCACGTGGGATACGCGCGAAACGAATTATATGGCTTTTAGTCGCGCATATTTCTGACGCCACAACGCGCAAAATGCACATTGAGAATATCAACAGACATGAACATGACGAAATCATCGAACTTGAGTTGGATGAAAACGGAGAGAGGTCCAAAGGAAGCCTCAGAACAACGGACAATTGAAGCGTAGGTGAAACGCCCCGTGTCCACGGAGAGTGCAAAATAAAAACGAATTGTATCGCGTTTAGTTGCGCATATTTCTGACGCCACAACGCGCAAGATGCGTGGCACATTAAGAATATCAATAGACATGAACATGACGACAAAAAAAAATTGGGAAGACAAACCCACTAACGACGTGAGCCGTCAAATAAGGTGTACTTTCGTTGCTCATACTTTTGAATATGTATATTAAAAAGTCGTTCTCAGCGATGACATTTGTGGACTGGCGAGAAGAGAAAGACGTGATAGTCGATAGCGAGGGCAATCAAATGTCTTCAATGTAACTGCGCTAACGAGCGAGCCTAGCAACTTCTCGCAGAAACGTGGCTTCTTTACTTTTCGGCCAATAAGCGCCGCTTTGTCGCGGAACGAGACTTGCGTCTTTCGCTCGAGAAATCATATTTATGCAATAAGAATAGCTTGATACATCGATTATTCATATGCGTCGTCGTCGACTCTCTCTCTCTTTCTAAGAAAGAAAAATTCGGACGAAAAAGATTTATCTTCATTTTCTTCGTGTTCATATTTATGTTTGTATTTCAAAGATGTTATTATATATATATATTTTGTTAAGAATAACAAAATATTATAGGATTTATGTTAAAACATGCAGACGTTTATTGTTTAGCGTGAAACATGAGAATACGGACTTGGAGGTATCCGAGCCTATCGTTCATGGAATCTACGAAAATTTGAGACGGAAAAGACGAGCTGAGAGCTCTCGTGGGAGTGGGCACCGCACAGATTGAACTTAAGGAAACGAAGAAACGGAGAGGAAAAAAAAGAGGGACGTGCAAAATGATGCGGTAGATAAACGACAGGCTCGTAGATTCGCCGTAGGATATCGCGCGAGCTCATTGCCTTTCATGAGGACGGCGAGAGTGTTCCTAAGACCGATGGTCAATTCCAGATCCCATCCAATTCTTTTTCGTAAAGTGCGCTGCGCCCGAACGCGGATTATAAATAAAGATGAAGAACGCATAAACGTAACCGACTGGCTCGAGGAGAGCTTTCTTAATTCCCGCCCGACATACAGCATGCGGCGCGTCAATCTTACTACCCGTGTCTCGGATAGGTACCGGCGACGATTCGCTGAGGATCGTCTAGACTCTAGATCGCGGATCTCGTCTGCGGAACGAGAGCTCGCAAAGGAAGAAGAATATATCTTCTATACAGCGAGTGCTCCGGCGTGAAGCGCGATTAAAGTCTCAATTCGCCGTGACATCCCCGCCGCGCGTAAGAAACGTCCTTTCGAAGTCTTTCGCATCCCTCCCGGAGGAGGCACGCCCCTTGAAAAAAAAAACCCGGAGACCGCTTACGTTTCGCGCGAATTGAATTAACCTTACGAGGCTGCGTTTCCCGGAACGCTCGCTGCCGTATTAATTATAGCGGCGCAGAGTTGAGAGCAGCATCTGCGGGTGACGGCGTCGTCTCGTACGAGAAGGTGGCGGGCAAGAGATAGGGCGCCGGGGCGAGGGGGAGACGGACAGAGAGAGAGATAGAGAGAGAGAGAGAGAGACCTTCCGGAGGGGTAAGGAAAGCCCCGGAACCCCTCGATGCCGTGGCGAACAATAAAGAAATTCCACGATTTTCTGCGGGACGATACCGACCGCAAGAAGCGCGCGTTGTCATCTTCGCATACCACCACCGTTCGTTCGTTCGTTCGTTCGTTCAGCGTGAACGAAGCGCGGGTTCTTCGAGTTAATGAAATCCATCGGCGCCAAGTCGAGCCGTGCCGCGAATCGACATCATCTCGCGCGTGAAAAGTCATCCTCTATCCCCTGAAAAATTAAAATTTGATCCAACGCGCACGTGTCGTCCCCCCCCTCTCTCTCTCTCTCTCTCTCTCTCTCTCTCTCTGTCGAGAGCAAATCGATTTCATTGCTCTTCATCAAAATTCGACTTTTCTCCCTTCGGATTAAATCGCGGAGTCAATTGTCGTTCGGGTGAATGTTGATGTCATGCAAAACGTACTCTCAGAAGCGTGCGATTTAAGTGAGGTCTATATCCGTTGCTAAAAACTAATTTCTAATTGCTCGCACTTAAGTGCTTAGCAATCCCTGTTATTTGCTAAGTATATAATTATTCTTATCTATCATCAGAGGACCAACCTGTCTCATAAATCTAGAGAAATAAAAATCTTACCACCTTCACTTCAAACGCTAATATCCAGCCATACCGTCGTACAATGACGCGATTGAGCTCATTGAACACGGTTAAAGCTTCTCGCGAATTAGCACGTGCTGCGAGATCGATTGCCAGTTGCCACGAGCAACGTCGCTCGACGGACAAACTGTCTCGAAAAAATCGCAGCGGGCAGAAGCGACGCGTGTCATACGGGCTCAGTTCCGACACAAACATGCTTTGCGTGTAAAAAGTATCGTATCTCGAGGAGGACAACGACGATGTTCCACCCGACATACGTAGGTCGAATCCTCGTCTTCCCGTATCTTATTTCGTCCCGTGTCTACGCGGCGTTTGACGCGGGACGCGACGAATCTATTAGCTGCAGCGCGAAATGGCGAATCGGATTCGCGGACGAGAATCGCAAGTAAAAGCTGGTGGCCTCGAAACGGACGGAACATTCGAACGGATGAAACCACCCCGCAGCCGCTGCCTCGTCTCGAAGATTAAATTCGCGACTAGCGACGAGGCTGCGTCGACCGTCTTCGCGGCGAAGATGTCGGGGTCCGGATCGTAACTCGCGACGTCCCCGTGCATTTGCAGGTAGTGTCGACTCATTGAATTCTATTCATCGAGCACCCGAGTTGCGCATCATTCAATTACGCGTTTTCTCAGCCCCGCTCCCTATACACCGACGGGGGAGACCAGACTTTCGCAGCACCTCTCCATTTTCGTACAATGCATTATTTGGCACCTATTGTGCCCGATGACGCTCGTGCATTCGCCGTGCCACTTACCCAAGATTATCGATAATTTCACGCGTGCTTTATGAAAATAGATTAAATTCAATTCAATTATAAGGTATCGGGATATACTAAAAAATGCAAAATTCAATTTTTAACCTACAAAGGTCTACAGGATATTAAATTCTTTCAACGCGTTTACTTGCGCACGAGACTTTGTGCCAAATAAATAACGCAATACTTTGTGTCGATATTATCGATGCCACGGCAGAATACTAATATCATTCTTTTATTCTTTTGTATAGGTGTCACTGAACGATAGCCGATTATAGGATTCAGTGACGAGATTTATTCGAGCCGACGAAAACAAGTAAACTACGGCTCGATTATTTTATTTCCGCAAGCACACAACCGAACTTTTACGGCTGGCAGAATAACGTGAGTCACAAGTAAGGAACATCGTCGTTTACTCCTCGTCATCGTTCACCCTTTACGAAATTGGATCGTGACACAATGAAGCTTTAGTAAAATAAATCCCAAATCAAGTTGATCCCAAATCAAGATTGTCAAGTCACAATAAACCCCAAAGTAGAACAAACTCCTAGGGGGGCTTTAATTTCATCACGCTCGCAAATGCCGATCCTTTTTGGCGCTCCAAATCATGCAATGTACCTTACAATAAACACATGTTGCAATACTTTCACAAATCCACGGAGATGTACTTAAAAAGGTTACCAGCTGCGACTTTGCGTATGCCCAGTCGTGTCACAGCATACGATAGCGAAGAAAATATTTATAAACGCGCAATTACAGGTAATGATAAATGATGAAATTATCCGCCACTAATCTAAACGCTGGAATCATTTACCGAGATAGCGAAGATGAGTTGACGAAGCTGGCCCTAGGCGATAGTATTAATTCGATCTACTTGGACTCTCTCGTTAGCCCGAGATGGCACTCTCCACCAGATTCCTTTACTTCGATGCTAATCACCCATCTATCTCTGTAAAACCTTAGGCTAAAACCGATTAGCGGCGATTCCTTTAGCAACAAGTTGCACCTCGTGTGTTTTCCCCAGGAGTTTCCTAAAATCAACAAGTGAATTCGCTTCCTGCCTGGAATTTCTATATTGCTTTCGCGTTCGACTCCACAGGTGGCAAACTGGCAACGAGAACGACTTTCCGGGAAACCCTTGACGCGAAAGAGGTTGGCTCGTTTATTTGCCTATCTTAACAAACGTAACACTCGGGGGGGAACAGATATCCGCCTCGTGTTCCTCCTTAATTGGCCGGAATTGTCGGAACTTCGGTCCGCGAATGTCGAAAATAGACGGCGACGCGACGCAATGACGTGCGAATATCGGCGCTATCTTTGTTTCTGGAATGCGATAAGAGCCGTTTTAATAAAGAGCCGAATGGGCGTTGACGACTCATATAGAGAATTCTTCGCGATCTTTGCATTCCTTTGTAGCCTCCAAGTAAATTCCGCGCGGATCGCGCCATTCCCAGGCGGCTAAAGTCGGGGAATCTTGATTAAGTTCGTTGTTCCGCGTGTTAGGGCTAAAATTATGAAACGATTCGCCTCTTGCTCCTTTTTATAGCCTTTCGACAAGGATTTGCGCTATATTCGAAAATATCACGATATGTAAATAAATTGTATTAGATATGGAGTTGGCGGTGTACGCCAGAGAAACGCGGGTTCATTCATTTTTACGATTTCTTGAAAAGATTTCGATCTGTTGTACTCGGCAAAGCCAAACTATTTTCGTTTTCGCACAGAATGATGTTTCATATCACTTTGATAGCAAAGATGGCCTGTATTGACGCGGAATAAGAGAAAAAAAATGAATAGCTGCAGATAGTGCCGATTCTGTCAAAGATTGACAGATTTGAGAAGGGGTGGATCGCGAGGGAATGGATGATACAGAGACAATATGGGGGCGTCGACAATTGCCACGGTGGAGGGAGACGAATGACCAGAGTATGTCGAAATAGGCCACGCGAAAGAGGAACTCACCAGGCTGTGAGGGTGGGGAGGAACGGGAGGAGGAGAAACAACCAACGGAAACAAGAGGAACATGTGCAGGTAAAATTAGTTATTATTTTAAAAAGAAAAGAAGAGAAGAGGAAAAGAGAGAAGACAATAAAAAGAAATTATCACGCGTGTCGCGCATCGAGTGTGTCTGCGAATATGTCAACGATTTGTATGCGCATGTGTGTGCAATGAAGGGAGAGAAATGTATAGTCAGAAGGCAGAGGGTGGAAGCGAGTGAGCGAGCGAGAGAGTGAGAGAGAGAGTGTGTGTGTGTGTGTGTGTGTGTGTGTGTGTGTGTGTGTGTGTGTGTGTGTGTGTGTGTGTGTGTGTGTGTGTGTGTGTGTGTGTGAGAGAGAGAGAGAGAGAGAGAGAGAGAGAGAGAGAGAGAGAGAGAGAGAGAGAGAGAGAGAGAGAGAGAGAGAGAGAGAGAGAGAGAGAGAGAGAGAGAGAGAGAG